CAGAAGTAAAATAATTGGGTCCTCTTCTTTCTTCTCAGATATATCTTTTCTGCCTCAGATATATCTATTCTATCAAAAAAACCTCACAATGCATTGCTCAGAAATTATATTTTAGGTGATTGATTCAGTAGCTGAGAGGATGCCCTTAAGCCAGCTAGTCCTTCACATGATGGTCAGGAGGAAGACTTCCTAAGCCAGCAAATGCTCATGGATTAGTCAGATTCCACGTTTACATGAGAATACTCAAGTGGAAGGCTTTCCTCAAGTCATCAAATCACATCGCCAACCACTGCACACACTGCACTATGTCAGCTCAGCTCCACGTAAAATGAGCACAGTCCACCCCAGACAGACTTTGGATTCAGAGACAGACAGTCACTCTAGATGTGTGTGTCACTGCTGGGTACCATCTCCAGTGTGAGCAACACCCCACACCAACTGAGGGCCTGGGGACCCATTGGGAATTGATGCACAGGAACGGGCACGAATAAACATCCCAGCAGGAAGAATGCAAGTACAGTGTGGTATGACCAGGTGTCTTCTTGTGGGAACAACAGCCGTGGGGCAAAAGATTTGCATAGGTTTTAGAGGGCTATCTGTGAGGAAAACCCCTGGCATATAGAGGCCTGGTGTATACAAACATATATGTGTATGTACACATACCAATGTATTTCCAAATTATGAAGAATGGTGATTGCTTATTTGGAAGCACATAGAATAATATAAAATAAAATCTTTATAATGATGCACAGTACTGCAGAGCATTACTCTGGACAATGCCTGTGACTGGGAAGAGAATGCACAATAGGCTGTGGCTGTACTGTGTCAGCCTGTGTGTCACCTGAGCAGGTACGGGAAACCTCCACCAAGCAGACAACAACTTTTCAGCCAGTGAGATGATGGCAGGGTCAGCCACCAGGACCAGACACCAAGCAAGGCAGAGAGATTACCACTGCAATGAGCTTCCTGAAGCCTAGCAATAATCTATGCAATCATCTAAAGGCAAGTGGCTGTGCAGGGACATGAACAACACCCACTGCAGGGCAGCAAAACCAAACCTTTGCTTGACCACACATGTATAGTGTTAAAGGCTGCAATCATCAACCTGCTGCCTAGTCTGTTGTTATTTTCTTCCCCATAAACTTGCCACTCCACATTTGGAGACTGCAAGACACAGTGGTGGTGATGGGGATGGACTTCTGCACTAGCCCCAAACTGCCCAGCAAACAGCAGCTCAACTCAGTATCTCCAAGGATTTACAAAGGCAGACATGCATATGCACATGTCCATATCTGAAAGTCAGAGGTTCCCAAATGATAATACTGATAACACCTGAAAATGGGATGCTGCAAATCTGGTAGGAAGGTTCTGCTTTTCCTGCTTATTCCTATTATCCCACATGTCACAAATTAGGTGTACTGGCTGTTTTCTCCCTCCCTCCCAGTCTTGCAGCTGGGAACATGTGCCATCAGCATGGATGGGGGATCATACAAGAACTCTTGTTGGCTCAAGGATGTACAAGAGAAATATTGTGCCTTGCTTCCCAACAGGCTTCATCTTAGGCTGTTTCTGACAGGACAGCCTATGTTCCTCCTCCCTTCATTCCTTCCCTTTGGATGTTTCCTGTGGTACATTCTTGACTGGTTCAAAACATTTGAAAATACCTTTCATCTGCTACCTATCTATAGAAGGATGAATATTTCAGCCTTCACAGCAAAGAGAAAACAACCATCAAATTTCCTGAAGGGTGTCAAACTATCTCTGTGACCACACATATTAATAAAGTTATGCTTATTTAAGCATGAAATGCAGCATCAAGCTGTAAAAGCTAATCAGTTTAGTGAAGAACTACATCTCCTAGCTTTAGCAGATGTGGAAGCTGTGTATGAGAGAAGGCATGGTTTTTAAAAGGGTAGGAAGTTCTAATTTTGTGATCAAATAGTACCTGCCATGACATATTGTTACTGCCTAGGCACCACGGAAAATGAAAATCCAGTTTATTCACATAGAAATATGTCATAATCTGACACCTTAATTTGAAGACAAAGCTGCAATCCAGAAAAAGGTGAATGCACAACCATGGCAATAGAAAGGAGCTTACGTAGCACATAGAATTTGGAAAAGCATATTTAGTAATTTAATCTCTATAGGGAAAGGAGATAGACAGGAAAAAAAAAATTACCCAGCTAAGAGAAACAGGAAAAATTGTACTGATCAGTGCACAGAAAATAAAATTATACATGGACAGTCCTCTCCAACTGTGAAGAAGATGATAAAGTTTGGGCCTTTGAATTGTTAATACTTCTGCTAATTTAAAATACAAGAGAATCCCTGGTAAGTTACAAAGGTAAAACTAATGGTTCCATTTGTTGCAATTAATAAGAACTCATTAATGAAGTTACTGGCCACTGATAAATAGTTATGAAAGTCAGAAAAGAAAAAGATAAATCCAAAATATCAGAAACTTAATTGACCTGGAATTCTCAAAGATAGAAGAGAGAAATGCATATCCCAAATTTAGTGCCCTAAACTGCATAGCACTCCCTAAATTATTTTGATTAAAATGCTGTAAGTACAAAAAGCACAGGCATTAGCAGTTCATGAGAGCCCCAGTAAGATGCATTCAGAAATGTCACTAGAAAATATAACTCATATTGCTCCAGGGCAAAGCTTTGAGTGCTTAACCATTGCACACAGTATGGGCAGCTTTGTTCTGACTACATTTTGCTGCTTGTGCTCTGCTCTACATCTCCACGTCACTATGCCTTTCTACACTTCTAAAAAGATCATATAATATTCATCACATCGCTTTTGTACTTTCTTTTAACAGAATTTTTTTTTTTTTTTGTAGTCTTGGAGACTTTCTTTTTCCTCAGCTAGTGATTTTGATGTCTCCAGCTCTGAGGAAACATTTTCAAGGCAGCTCGACCATTTTTCTGCACAACAGCTCAGGCACCAAACTAACTGCCACATGCGAAGTGACGGCAAACTCTTTCTCTAAACTTCATCTCTAGCTTCTGAACTTTTCAGGCTGTTCCAAAATGCCTTTCCTTTTATTAGGAAGGCTGTAATTACTATCAAAGGGCAACCTTTATTATGACATGAAAAGAAGCACTCCAACTACTGTGCTAAACATTAGATGTTCAGCTGAGTGATAAAATACTATAATCAAACCCCACTTGTGAATATCTCTTTCAACAACCGTTGTGTGCGTAAGTGCTAAAACTTCAAATTGCACAGTATTTATTAGGGCACAGCGTAAGCTTGTGAAATGAATGTCTTATTTTGCACATATTCAGAAAAAGAGAAGGCTGAATAACACTGCTGTGTGCCGTGTTCCTCCCTGGCACGCGCTCCCATGAAAAGCAACAGCGGTGGTAATGGCACTCCAGAGACTGAATGTTTCTCTGCCTGTGGTGGGCAAGTGCAGAGGTTTAAGCAATATTTTTGCTTCTAAGTAAAAGTAAAAAAAAAATATTGTTTTAATATTACAAGAAGTTGTAGCATTTGTCTGCTCTTGCTGTTTGTGTAAACTCAGAGAGTTTTTTGGTATTTTCTAGCGAAAACCTTCAGTCTGTCTCAGTAGTTTCTGGTACCTTTCTCCATATTCCCTGTGTACCTTTTACAACACCACCAGTAAATGTCACTTTCATGCCTTTGGAGGGATCATTCCCATGATGATTGCTTTGAGCAAATCTCTGCTGGGGGAAATTTCCCTTCTGCAGGGTGCATGGATGAGCCAGGAGTGCATTGCAGAGTTGAGGGCAGGTTAGTGTGGTGCTGCTGGGGGGAGATCCACAGCAGGTCACTGCTGCTCAGCTTTACCACTGTTAGAGAGCAGTGGGTGGTGGGAACTCAGAAATGTCGAGAAGGAACACCGACATGAGAGCTTCCCTCTGGGCAGAGAGGGGTGTGCTCAGTTATTTTATTCCTGTCTCTGCAAAGTTCTTTCACAGAAGCTCCCTCACCAGCTCCCTCTTTTTTCCAACAGACTGATATGGCAGGACAGGAGAGAAGACTCCTACGGAGACCCACACGGTCCCACAGGCTGAGATCAGGAGGGGTTTGATCTCTGAATTACTGTTTCATCCCAACAAGGGATTTAATTGAAGCCAAGCTCTTTTCCTCCTTTGTTAATTCCAGGAGAACATGTCTCTCCTATGTCTTTGTATTAGACCTTACAAGCATTCTGGAGCAGAACTACGTCTTTGTTGTAGCTTGTGTAGTTTAAACACATCTTCAGAGACTGCAAAGAAATCATCATAATAATATGGTAACTATGGGAAGCTGCACTGTTGCTGTTTGACTCATTAAAAAGGAGTTCAGCCTCACAGAATACTAGTTCCACATACTTAATTCATATTTTCAGATGAACTGAGATATTTTTGTATCCTAAAGATCAGTTTACTGTCTTCAGTGCTAAACTTTTTGTTATGATTCAAAATATATAATTCTCCATATGGTTTTATCAATAAAATCCACAAATTAGACTGATTCAGATTTCTAAGTATAGAAATATTGATTGTGATGAGGTAAATAATTTTGACGGTTGTTTGCTTGCAGAGGCCTTTCCTAGCATCACTGCTAAAGAAGATGTTTTTTCCTCTAGGTCATGTTACAGTGTGTGCTCAGTTGTCCCAGTCTGTGTAATATGTATGAATGATGCATCCATCACATGGCAGTCATTGTCTCAGAACTGTGTTATCAGAGGGTTAATGCTTATTTATGACTTATTCAATCATACGGAATAAGGAGATGAAAAGTCAAGGAATTTTTTTAAACTTTTTTTTTCATTTCTTGCTTAATTTCTTAGGACATGTTGTTCATGTCTTTTAGTAAACCTATAGCTGGATTTTTCTTTGCTATAAAGCAACATTGTTTTCATTCAGAATTTGATAGTAAGTATGACTCCATATTTTAATACTGCTTATTAATTACAAGTATAACATATTTATACCGTGTGCTCAGTTTCATCACCCTTTTTCGTCTTCCCACTTCAGGAGTAGGAATCTATCATTATTTGTTCCATCATCATGCTGGAAATAGGAAAGCATTTTGTACTCATAATTTGCTCTACAAATCTGTATGTGAATGTAATATCTATATGTGATGATATAAATATATGTCTAAAATTTATGTAGCTCTGGTCAACTTCCCCCTCTAGAGATTTTTTAAATTTCTTTCGTTTCATTTATTCCAGTTTCAAAGTCTCTCAGTTACAATTTCCTGAATGTATCTGCCGTGGGGATTTTTTTGGTTGGGTTGGTTTGAGGTTTTTTTTGTTACCCTTGGGTGTATTAATACAACTCCACAACTAGGTCATTGTCCGATCAAGGTAAAAAGTTATTGACAACATGTGACACCCAGCTTCACAAATTCATATGTAAGATAATTAGCCCTTAATTTATTTAGATAAATTGTTTCTTTTTAATATTGTTATTTCTTAAATATGGCTCCTGAAAGTGGGCAGAAGATGGAGACACTGCAAACTCATCACAGTGATCTAGAACCAAACTTCAGGCATAGCATGGAGCAGGGACAACACATCAGATCTATGGCCCCAGAGCTACTGCCATTCCCTTTTATGCATGGAATCATAATTCCTCCTTATTACAGAAAGCAGAGGGAATAAATATAGTGCAGAGCAAATAAATTAAGGTTTTGGTGGTTCATTTCTTAGGGTGAGTAGCATGGATCCAGTACTCTGTCTGTCCCATATAGTACCCTCTTTCCCAGTCTAAGAATGGATAAGTAGTAGGAAACCTTGGGAATTTTTGTGTTTCATTGCCCAGGAACTCGATCGCTGGTGCAGAAAATACAGGGGAGGAACACTTTGTGTTTACTTACTTCCTTATAGAAGTGATCACAAAATCTAGCCTCTTGCTATACTTTCAGCAAGCAGTCAGTAAAACATTTCCTTTTTTTTTTTTTTTTTTTAAATTTGAAAACATGCTGCCACTGCCCACAAAAATCAACAACCTCATCCAGGAAAATAGATAGCAAAGACATATAACTCCATTAGTAGTTGCAGTAATGCTGCAAAGAGCAGGAATTTTTTTTGCTCTCAGATGAGTTGTTCCTTAGCGAAGTGGTTGGTTGAAGACTCCAGAGAATCATTTCTAAGTGGGTTTTTCTTTCTTTTCTTTGTCATGCCACTGGCAGTTCTGCCAGTGAACAGGAATAAGAAACAAAACCACAGTATTTCTTATCCAGTACTTTACATCAACTCTTACATCAGTCAGCACTAGACACTTGTAAAGTTGTTCTTACAGCTTTTTCTCTTGTTTGCTGATGAAACGTCTCCTTAGTTATTATTCAGATTCTTTTTGTGACCCACACATAATCTTTTAGTAAACATATGGATATCTAAGCCAAACTAATGCATTCCTTTCATTATCTTTTGCAAGGGGTGCCTAAGGATGCAATCAACTTTTCGAAAGGATTGGAAACCACCCCTGCATTGAGGACCATTAAGACCATCTTTTGGTAATTGCAACCTGCAAGAAAAAACAGTTCTAATTTTAAATTTTCTGCCTCTTAATTTCATCTCTTTTGTCTTGACTTTCTTTTTCCAAGAATGGGTGATCTCCATAGCTCTCTTTCTATGATTTACTTTCCTCCTGTCTTTCATGTTCCTTTTTTGTCTCGTCTCTGCTTTCTGGTCATATTGGTATTCTCTAATTACTCTTGCTACTGAAAGCATAGAATCTACCCATTATAGGTAAATGAGCCAAGCATGCCTGTAAATAACAGATGAAATTGAGTGAGACTTGAGATTGAGATATGCTAAAGGATGCTGTCAAAATATTTATGACATGGGAAGAGCGCAGCTGAAGCATCAGATTAGTATTGCTGAAGATTGTGAAGAAAAACTGAAATGATTTTACCAAGATATGTGGGGTATGGAGAATGCATGTTGCCACTCAGACCTCTTGTTTGCAAACAGCAGATTGCAGAGTCATTGAGGTCTAAGTAATTTCAGCTGCCAAACCCTCTGAGGAAACAGACCTTCTTCAGCACTCCATGAAGTTTTTAACGTCTAGATAAAAACAGTCTTAGTTGGTCAGGTCTATGAGAGAGTGAATGCAATATGTGGGAAGTAACTAAAGTCAAGATGTCAAATAACAGATCTTCCAGGTTTTCCTAATTATTTTCAGTGGTAAAAATCACATGAAGCAGACTAATCTTCTGGAAATATTTCATAAAACCAAGAAGTCTGGTAATAGATATATTACAATAAAAAGAAAATTTGATTACACACCTATATTTTTACACAATAGAACCATGATTATTATGGAATAGCATCTAGAAACTCAGCTTGCAGCTAACATATATTAATGGCATTTGGACACAATTTTTTGCCAGTTTTATCTCTAAACCAAAGATTCAGACTCCTGGTACCAGCACAGACACGAGAGTTGAACCAGCTTCTGGATTTTTTGAATCGAGCTTGCTCTGGTACCTGGTAGGAGACAATATTTTCATTATATTTTTTATATAGAATAGCATAATAATGTTGTTATTTCTCATTTCTTCGTGAAGAGTGCCTGATATACAGGACAGTTTTGTTAAACTGGGAAGTATGAGGCCCACTGAGTGTATGTGGTTCAACTCACCATACTGGTGTCTGTGTATCAGGTATCCAGTCTAAGCCAATGAGGAAAGCTTTCTCTGTATTTAAAAGAAATGGAGTAATTTAACTGACTTCAGATGCATCCATGTAGGCATCTTCAATGCATGTATCTTCCTATTTGCTAGATGTTTAAGATCCCACTATAATCCTATAGTCAATAGGGAACTACTTAAAGCCTCCAAAGGAATCTAGAAGGCGATTCACCCTGTCCTAAAGTGGGCAAGTGCATCTACTTAGTGAAGCATCGCTGACTTTTGATTTGGAAACTGTCTAAACCTACTTTTCGAGATGTTTGCAATGCCCTACCATACACTCCTGGCCTCAGCAGCTACACGCAGAAAAGAGCAGATCTTTCCTAAGTCATGTTTTGTACCTGCTTGGGTCATGGGCATGATGCAGCTATCCTAAATCTCTACCGGCTACAGTGTTCAGCCACCTTCCCTACCTACGAACACCTGCTCTTATAGAAGACGTGTGAGCCAAGTCCCATCCTATGTGCCAAATTCGTCCCTCAGATAGACAAGTGAAGGGACTGAGCTGCTTTTGTTCTGTTACCAAATATGGCTTTTAATTCTTGTACGCAGCAGAATGAATAATTTTTTTTTTTACTTCAATACTGCCATTTCCAAAAGCACTTCAGATCTGCAAGAATCCAATGTCCTGTGTCTACCTATCAGTACTAAATTTTGTGATTCACTTACTTTGATTAATATAAATTGAAAAACTCCTGTCTATGCACAAGGTTGTTATTGACAGAATATTTGCTATTGAAATGGAAACCAGCCCTCAGCTATCACAGCATATTTATTTAAACAAGAATCTGGATAAAATAGAGGCCTGCCTTTTCCTTGGCATTTGTAAGAAGAGGAAAAATATGTGATCCACTACAGGACTTTCTTTTTTGAAAGAGGTGTAAGACCAGTCTTATTTTCTACTTTATATTCCTGTGAAAGCACTACTTCTTGCACTTTTTATAGGATAGAATAAAAATGCATTTAAGCAGAAATGGCTCTCCAGAAGCCCTTGGTTTGAAGGAAACTTCACAAAATGAGACAATTTGTGTGGCAAAATACATCTTAGCGTGCATTAAAATTTTTATATTTCATTGTTCTATTGGTGATGTGGCTATAAGGCAAATGACAAAATTGAACAGAGTGAACCTTAGCTTTTTAAAAAATTTCTTTGTATTTTCTTCATCTTTTCACATAGAAACAGCATCAAAGGTAAGTGTGATGTAATATAATATTTTCCAAGAAAGTATGCAAATTCTCTGAAGTTCTACATCTGACATAAGCTCTCTTACGAGATGTCTAGGAGTCTTTATTTGACCCCGGCATTCGAAGCCCACTGTGCGAGATGAACATATGCAGATTTCCAGATGCTGTGCTTTCATATGTCCATATTTTTAATAGACTGAATTTTCTAAGATCAGGTATGCTAATTGCCAGTTGCTCTGAACACGTGGAGACTGTTCAGTTTTAAAGCAATTCAAAGAATAACAGGAACTTGTAATTAGATGTCATAAAATAGAATAGCCCATATAGAATATAAGACGGAAAGAAGATAAGGGGAATGACATTTGACACTGATAGTTGTACTTTATATATCAGAAGAACTATGGTTTGCATGTTACGGCTGAAGAAGAATGAAAAGCACAAGGGCAACCTTTTCCCTGCTGAGAAAGTGTTTTTTTGCTGTTCCTTGGGCTGGACTAATTACTGTAAGAGACTCAGTTCCCCTGGCTCTGGTGGGGTTGCAGTGTCCAGTTTTCACAACAGCTACAGGCAGAGAAGCCAGAACTACAGCACTGACAGCCCATGCAAACAGATGCCTTGGTTCGTAAAATTCAATCATATTGGCCTATTTCTCACACAAAGGACTTGGTCTGGTAAAGACAGGAGCAGAGCTGTCACATGGAAACATCTCCCCCAGCAACAGGACACTAGTGTGCCTTACTTGTAGCCTAAGAATAGTCTTAATTAGCAATTTCTGGCGTTTCACTTTCTTCTTATGGACAGTAGTCTGTTCTTTAGCTTCATTCCTATCCAGAAAGGGACTTTAATAGGATGTATTACACTTCCATTTCAACAGGTTTTGGCCACAGGAGGCCTATGCTCAGTACTGCTGTGCTTAATCCTCCCCCAGTCCCAGATATGGAGCATCATCTGTCATCTGCACCTTCCGTGCACAGAGGTGGCTTTAGCATGCAGGAGCCACAGGAGTAGGGTCAGCCCTTTTCTTGCCTTGAGACGTTTCTTCTGTAGTGTGTATTTGAAGAAGGGAAAAAGGCAGGGGTTTTTACCATATAAAATGCAAACTCATCCGTGAAAAAACTTCAGCAAAACAGACCCCGTTCTCCTCTTATTTATTTGTGTTTAAGGTAGGAGGAACTTGGGGTCAAAAAATGGGGCTGATGCAATGAGACTGATGA